GAGGGTCGGGCGCGGGGGAGGGGGCCCGCGCCGCCTGCTGCCCAGTTCCCGAAATCGGACCGGGAGAGGCGGGAGCGGGGCCAGCAGTGTGGCGGGACGAGCGCGGAGGAACCGCCGCCGGAGGAGACGTGTCCCCGAGGTCGCAGAGGCCCCGCGGGAGCGGTCGCCGGAGGGAGAAAGGCGAGTGTGGAAGCGCCCGGAGGAAGCACCCACCGTATTGAAAACTCACTGTTCCTTACTCCTGTGATAAGGAATGACATCCCAACCCCGTGGAAAACTTATTGTTCTTTAATCAAATAATAAATAAAACTTGAACCAAAATAAACGTTCGGTAACTTTCCGGCGTGAACAGCTGGCGTGTCTCCTTTCTGGTTTCTGTGTCATTTGCCGAATGTTTGCGTTTACTCTGCCCCGCTGACTTGCTGGTTGCTTTGAGAGCCCGGCCTCTTCCACTTCTCACAGAAGGGCTGCACCAGGGTTAGTAGCCTTTCCTGTAACCTAGGTCTGGGTTGTGTAGGAAAGGGGTTTTGTTTTGTCTGTAATATCCAGGAGCTATGTAAGTGCTTAACAAAAGGACTTTACGCTGACGATGAAAACAGCAACGAATGATTCATCTGGAGGAAAATAATGGTATATTGTGACAGTAAGTGTTTTACAGTTTGTGACTTCTTTAGCAGCTTGAAGTGGTTTCACCATATGCCGCCCTGACTTGCTTCCGTGGTTTAACTGTGTTGCATACTTTATTCATTTTTTGTAAAATATCACTAAAAATTGGGTGCGGTCCCTACTGCATAAACATAACTTTTATTCCGAAGTGGGATGTCTATACACAATTCCTAAAACAATGGTGTGTTGATTTACATCTGTCAGTTTGGCAGCCTACCCTTAACCTTTGTAAATCAAGAGAGTGTGAAATTCAATTGAATATAACATTCATAAAATTTGCCAAGCCACATATTCCTTTAATCAAATATATGTTGTTAATAGTGATGGATGTGTTTCTTAGTTCAATGTAAGCATTTCACATTGTAAATCGAAGCAGTACCCTGAACCCCATAAATGCATTCATGTAGTTATGATTGCATCAAATGCATCAAATTAAGTTATGATTTAATAAAAAATAATAAAAAATATATGTATATATGCTCTTAAAGGCCAGGCTTGTGACAGATCTGGAAATATAACAAGTAAACACACATATACATATGTTATGCCCACAGACATACCAGGAAGAAAATACTTTTTTAAAAATTTGGCATGAGTAAGTACCCTGCTAATTCAGCATAGTTAAATTCATCCTTCCTTGGGGGGCAATGAGAAATTTTTCTAAAAACTCAGCCTTGTAGCATACCATCACCATTCCTATTGTTTTAATTCAGGAATATTCCTAGATTTCTAGCTAATAAAAAAAGTGGAGGACATATGAACATATTTTTCTTTTTAAGGACTTTGCCAGACTTCCTAAAATTTAGTAGCAAATTGCCCCAGTAAAAAACAAACAAAACGCTAGGATACTATTTCATCTGTTATTCTGTTCATGTGAGAAGTATAAATTAAGTTTATGATGTGGTGGTTTGTTTAAACATACAAACAAAAAGTTTCTTTAAAGATTGACACTCTTTAAAAATTGGCAAAGCGCACACAATTCTTACCTTGCCCATTGCCTGGGGAAACAGTAACACCTAATACTTAGAGAGCTCAAGTGCCTAAAAGGTGCTTCATTATCTTAAGACTACAGTCAGGTGTCTTATTGATTTCCGACAATTCCATGATGTTAGTACAATTATTATTCCCATTTGACAAATGGGGAAAGAAAACATAAGTAATTTTCCCAGTGACACTTATGACAGAGAAGGGGAAGGGGGACAGAGAAGGAAGGAAATTCTGAAGAGGAATTAAACCAGCAAAGGACCTTCTCAGTAAAACAAAGAAATATTATGAACCTTTCAGATGAATAAATCAGCTATTTTGTCTTTAGGGACTATTTGCTGGCCAGGATCGAAATATTTTCAGTAGAGACTTTTTACATCTTTCACATACCTAAGTCCCTGACAAATATTAGGAATTACTAGGTTTTTGTTTGTTTGAAGGAATATACGAATACATCAATCAATAAAAGAAAGTATACATTTGCTATAATTTTTAGAAAAATATTTGGCAAATTACATTAAGATCACTAAAAATGTCATGTTTTTAGTATCTATTTTAAAGAACCCAAAACATGAAAAATTTTATTTACACTAAGGTATTTATCATTTTCAAAGAAGAAAAGTGGAAAAATATACACAACCAATAATAGGCAGATTTATAGGCATTACATGGTAGAATAGCTCGCAGCCACTAAAAATGAAGGTTATGAAAAGAGTAAACTTAAAAGGGGAAAATGCTTATGGTCACATGTAGGGTAAAATAATCAGAAGATAGTACAGAATTTTAACTGGGGAAGGGAAGAAAGTTCTGGAAAGGATGGTGACGATGGTTGCGTAACAATGTGAATTTACTTAATGCCACCAAACTAGACACTGAAAACCAGCTTAAATATTAAAATTTATGTTATGTATATTTTACAACAATGAAAAATTAATAGAAGAAAATCTACATTTGGTATGTATGATAACAACAACGGGGGGGGGCGCACTGGGAAAAAACATAAACCATGGCATTAATTTAATTAGCAGTACATGTGGAATAATAAAATTATATGACTGCCCCTCCCTATTTTCCTATTATTTTTAGTATATGGTTAGAGTATTTATTTTAAAAGACGACAGAGCTGTATCCTCATTGCAGTTTACCAGATGCTAACTCCACTCATGAACTTAGACTTACATTTAGCAAAATGTTCTCTGTAGAATCCCAATTCATTCTACTACATATCAGAATTTAATAAGTGTAACTGGAAAATAGGGTCTTGAGATCAAATAAGCTTGGAGAAATCTGGATTGAACAAAGTTAAACAGGCTTCCTCACTATAGCAGGCTTCTTTATTATAAGACCTTTTCCATGGTTACCAATATGGTATTGTGCACCGTAAATATGTGGAGGAAGAAAAAGAGTGCAGTATTTCCCCAAGTTTTGGTCTACATTAACTCTTTAATAGAAGAAAGAGTATCACTCAGGATACATACAGTTCTGGGAGATAAGTTCCAGGAAACAGAATCTGGGATACACTGCCTTAAACAACATTTAATATCATTATGTCTCAATTTCTTTCATATGTAAATGAGACTAATAAATCAGATTTTTAGAGGATTGAGTGAAATGTATCTATTTATCATAGTGATGCTCATTTAGTTATAGGTATAGGTACGAAAGGGCCTGGATAATAATAGGTGCTGAGTAAATGTTCACTGAAGGAATATGCACAAACTCCGACTTAACAGAAGCAAAGTTGTATTTACCCAGTGATACCTCATGACTGTACACACCACACGCTTTTATAAGCAATTAGATTTATTCTCAGCTTGCTAGTAACTAATTGCTTATATTATGCTTTCCAGTTTGTAAAACGTATTCCCCCACATGATCTCTGTCTAACCTCACTCCAACTCTGTGAAGTGGGCAAGGCAGGTAGTGTGATTAATTTCACTTAACAGGAGAGGAAACCAAAGTTTAGAGGGATTAGAATACTTGCCCACAGTTATACAGCTGGTTAATAGCAGAGCTGTAACTCTGCTCTGGATTTTTTGATTTTAAATCTCACTTTCCCCAAATTGCTATGTACCTAATTCTCATCTCTAAAAATTTTGATTTGAGTCACATGTCAAAATCCTTCATGCCAATTCCTCCAGCTGCACTTCTCGTGCTGGTAGATGGACTTGAGCTTCTGTTTTCTCTTTGAAAGGGGAAAAAAGGCAAAATCCTAAATCCTAAACGCATTTCTTTATAGTAAAATTCTTGCATGGGTACGTGTGTGGGTGGTCACTAGCATCCCTAAAGATAAGAGAGGCAGGGAATTTCTGACAATGAAGCTCCTGAATAGAACAGAGACTTCAGGGAAAGAAAAAGAAAGTGCTTGTTACATTGTTACATCCTTAAATGCTGCTATTTTGCGTGGGTATTAGAGCCTTGGACGGTAGGACAAAGCCCTGTTGCTCCCTGGAATTGCTCTATGGCCTGGCCACTTAGCACAGCACTGAGATCTTGACATGGAGAATCCAGGAATGAGACGGGCAGTAATGCAGCGTGCCTAAGTCTCTGCGGAAATCCTCCTCTCTGTATGGGCTTAGACAATTTTGGATCAGATGTTAAGAAATACAGTGTATTCAAAACCAGAGTTATTTTGCAAGTCCCTTGAACCTTTTTAAAATATCCGTAACTGGGGATTAGTTCAGACACACTAGTCAAGAAAATGGATGCTCCAAAGGTTTTATCAAGGGAAGCAAAAAATGTGAGCAGCTTGAGAGCTCAGAGTTGCCAATTTGGAAGAGCAATTTGCCTACAGCTGGATATAATTAACAAGCACGGGTCAAAAAGGAAGCCAATCATAAAAGTGCGAATTGGATTGAGGTGGAGGGATGGGACCGTAACAGTCACTTCCAGAGCTGATACATTCTCACTGGAGAGCCTCTCCCCATTTTCAAAAAGTCTAGTCCGATGATGTCAATAGGAGATTCAACTTGGAGGGGAAAATGCCTGGTCGTCACAGTGACCCAGTATGTGTGTGACAAATTACCTTTAATAGTACCTCGTACTCCCTCTAGACTAGTAAGTATTTTCATGTCCTCCAAAATGTATTATGCTTTTCCTGGACTGTTATAGGAAAAAAAAATATATATATATATATATAAAATATGTATATAAAGGGCACTGGAAAGGATACAGAGCATCCCAC